GTTGCAGGGGGCTGTGCTGATCAAAGATATGTCAAGCCCCAACTCAGTGCCTGGCACCAAGGAAGACAATAATGAACGGCAGGTCCTTCCATCTACCATACCCCAGTCCCTAGCTCACAGCGTCTGCTCCCATTCCATTCCTGCCACATCTCCCCTTTCCATTTCACCAACCCCATTCCTCCTCCCCTTCAGAGGCCACTAGAGAGAGCAGTTTCCATGGTAATCAGTGTCCTCATTAGTTTGGAGTTTAATGGTCCCTAAGTGTCTGTCTGGACCAGGTTCCTAGCTCACAGCAGAAGGAGCTTTTCATTGAGCTGAAGGGCTATTGAGAAATTGTCAAACACTAGCCATTATGTTCAAGTCAACCTAATTACACACAATAGCATACAATATTTTAGTGTAGCAAGAGAGGATGTGAGGAAATCATCTCGTCTTGTCCAGGGCTGAGCATCTGAAGAATCACTCTCTGCCCCACACTCACTGGTGTGGGATTTCATCACTGGGCTGTAGGTGTTAAAATGTGAGTAAGGGGGGTATGGGAGACTAGGCAACAGGGAGCCAACCTCATTAAAGGTTTCTGAGTACATCACTAGGGGGTTGCTCTTTCCTTATCCTCCCACCTGTCCCTTAAGGGTCTAAGATCATGAGAGTTTCATGCTCTGTTCATGCTTACTTTCTGTACCAACCACCCCAGCCTTGTCCCTAACCTGTTTTGCTCACTCACTCATTCATTCAGCCTCCATTTATCAGTCCTACTCTATGCCAGGCAGTGTTCTCAGCACTGTGAATAAAATAAACAATAAAATAAAAGAAACGAAGATCCCTAACCTCAAGGACCTTGCAGCCAAAAAACAAGTAACTACAGAATGACAAGTCTGAGAAGGGGGTACTCATCTCCTATTTACATTTGAGGAAACCAAGCCCCAGAGATATGCCCAGGGATAGTTACCAGGTTGAGTCTCCACCCACTTGGGCATTTTTATAATAAATGTCAGTGCATGCTTACTCTTGTGCAGTGTGGTAGGGGCTGGGCATATGAGGTACATTATGACCCAGTATCACCCAGTTTCTGCATGACAAGTCAGGGTTGGTGAACAGAAGAAGAGGCAGGAATAACAAAATACAAGTCCTCTGGCGGCTGGATATGAATGAGGACCACCTCAGGGGTGGCTCAGTGGAGAGCACATCCACTCACCCACCCCGCTCCAGGCATTCTTTCTCTTCACTTGCAGCCCTTTCTCTCTTTTCAGGCTGGCCGCAGGCTCCACTGCTGCCTTGGCACTGGCCCCTGGAAGTATCCCAGGGCCCCATGCCCTTGGCCCACAGCCCACCATGGCAGCTTCTGCTTTTGGGGAAATGCAACTCCTTTCCCTGCAGGGCTCCCTCAGGGCCTCATAGGATCTTCCCTTCCCCCACGTGGCCCCTTTCTCAAATACAATATTTTATGCAATTCCAATTGGAAAAAGACGAAAAGAGAGCTGGTGCTCTGTGTTGAGCGGGAGCTGGCAAGCCAGAGTCCTCTACTCAACCGCCGCAGTAGTTGCCCCTGGGTTACATCTCTGAAAGCTCAGGGTCAGTACAACACACTTTACAAACAGCAGCCTGCGTATGGAGTGGGCTACCCCACCCCCAAACTATCAAGCCTGTCCAGTGGGGAGAGGCAGCTGGGCCAGGAGGCTTTTGTGTGCTGGGGCGAGTCCCATAAGCCCATCCACTTACTGTGTGGAGGTGGAGCTGGTCTTGTAAGTAGGTATTAGAGAGGAGAAAAGGGTGATCCTATGTGTCAGTCATAGGGCAGCTGGGCCCTTGGGCCCTGACAATTACCCTGTGCCTGAAAGTCATCTTTATGTGACACTAGGCACATGTCACCAGCCCTGCTCAGAAGCACTCATCTCAGTGCCCACAGGACTAAGCCCACACTCCTTGTCCTGGTATCCAGACTCTCTCCGAGATGGGCTCTGCTGCTATTTTCAGCCTCACTTCCCACCAGCCCCTTCACAGAATCACCATTCCATCCAAGCAGGCGAGCTGCACCTGACACTCCCCACAGGTTCCCTGCAGAGCGGGACGCGACCAGGCTGAATGCAAGGAAGGCCAAGGCAGCACTCGGGGTGGGTGTGTTATACAGGACAAGGGTCTCAAGATCTGGGCAGTTCTAAATATTATTTCTTGCTATGAAGCATAGTATTTTGTAGATGAAACTGAAAAGGAACTCAGCTGGATGATAACCAACTGCAAAGAAGAAAGCAACATGTAGTTGAGCAAGTGGAGTGTGTGGGCAATGGCTAAGCCTCCCTCTGGGAGGCAGAGCTTTGGATATGAATCCCGTCTCTTCTCCTAGCCGCAAGCAAATAAACTAAGTCTCATTTTTAAATAGAGCACCTCAAGCCACAAACCCCTTGAGTTCAGTAACAGGTGCTTACTAACAGGATGCCCCTGTAGAGGCATCTGAGCCTCAGAGAGGAATGCACCTGCGTGGGGCCTCTGCTTCGGAGGACAAATCCAGATGTGACCACCTGCTACCATCCTGACGACCAACAGTCTGGCCTGATCCACCATCATCTCTCACCTAGGTTACTGTAAGAACCCCTTCAATATCTCCTTCTTCCTCCGTGGCCCCTCAAAACTGAAAAGCAATGCAGTCTCCTCTACTCAAAAGGCTCCCCATTTCAGCCAGAGTAAAAGGCCAAGGCCTTACCCCATCTGGCCCCACCAAGCTCTCCCACCTCACCTCCCTAGTTCCTCTCACTTGGCTCAAGCCTTGTGCTCCTCAAAAAACTGCCAGGCACACGTCACCTTAGGATCTCTGTGCTGGCGGTGCTCTCTGCCTGCTAGAACATTCGCAGTCCAGACAGTTGCATGGCTGCCTTCCTCATCTCATCTCAATGCTCAATTGCCACCTTTGCAAGGTGGCCTTCCCTGACCACTCCTTTTCTTTATTAAAAAAAGTTTTTTCTTAATCCTCACCAGAAGATATTTTTCTATTTATTTTCAGACAGAGTGGGAGGGAGAGAGAAAGAGAGAAATATCGACGTGAGACACACATCGACTGGTTGCCTCCTGTGCGACCCTGACCAGGGCCGGGGACTGAACTGTAACCGAGGTACGTGCCCTTGACTGGAATCGAACCCGAGACTCTTTAGTCTGCGGGCCAATGGTCTGACCAATGAGCCGAACTGGCCAGGGCCCCTGACCACTCCTTGTAAAATTACTCTTTGGGACAACATGGAAGGACCTGGAGATGATTAGTGAAATAAGCCAGTCGGAGAAAGATGAATGCCACATGATCTCACTTATATGTGTAATCTAATGAACAATGAACAAAATAAAACAAACAAAATAGGTCCAGAGGTATGGAAACATGGAATAAAATGACAATCTCAGAGGGGAGAGGGGTGGAAGGATGGGAAGAGATTAACCAAAGAACCTACATGCATACATGCATAGCCCACGGACACAGACAATAGTGTGGTGAAGGCCTGGAGGGTGGGGTGGGGAGGGGGGACATCTGTAATACTGTCAACAATAAAAAAATAAATGAAAAACATTCTATTTATTTTTTTATCCTCACCCGAGGACATTTTTTCATTTTTTGTACAGACAGAGTGGGAGGGAGAGAGAGGAAGAGAGAGAGAGGGAAACATCGATGTGAAAGGGACACATCGAGTGGTTGCCACCCGCACGACCAACCAGGGCCGGGGACAAACTGCAACCAAGGTACATGCCCTTAGCGGAAACCGAACCCGGGTCTCTCCGGACCGCAAGTGGATGCTCTAACCGCTGAGCCAAACCGGCCAGGGCTGAAAAACATTCTAAAGCCTGCTCTTCCTCTCCAGCTCCTCCTCACGTCCGTCCAGCATTCTGAACCTTCCTTACTCTATTCCAACTATTTTCCTTTTTCCATAGCACTTCACACTTGATAACCCATTAGAGTCTAGTGACTAGACAGTTCATCAATTAATCAATTTCTATAATCTGTCTTCCCCTACCAGAATGTCAACTTCACAAAAGCATGAATTTTACAATTTGCTTTGCTCACTAATATAACCCACCTGCCTAGAACAGTCCCTGCCGTGTACTGTGCTGCATTAAGAAACCCTCCTGTCTTCCACAGGTTCATCTACTTGACCTCGAAGCACACACCTGGCTGGACCTAAGGTACTTGCATGTGCACACGTCCCCATAACACACAAACATGTAACTGGTGACACCACCTACTGATGTGGATCTATAAGCATGTGTTTTTATTGTTGTTGTCAATCCTCATCTGAGGATATTTTCCCATTTATTTTAGATGGAGTGGGAGGGAGGGAGGGAAGAGGGCCTTGGGGTGCTCTAGTAAAAAAACAAACGTGGTTGTTGCAAGGCAGTTTATTTACTTGCAGCAAGGAAAGGAGTCTGGATTCATTTCCAAAGCTCTGTCTCCCTGAAAGGAGGTGTAGTGTTCTTTGCAGTTGGTTACTTTCATCCCCTGAGCTCCTGTCTGCTCATCCTGTTTACAGCTTCGTCTACCAAATATTATGCTACATTTTAACATTTAGCAAGAAATAACATTTAGAACTGGCCAGACCTTAGGACACACAGTTGGGCCTCAAAGAGAAATGCAGCGGTTGTGTGCCCTAGGCTCCTCCATGACATGCCCCCTCCCCGCACTGGTTCTGAAGGCCTCTGATAGCTCCACCCCCACTCCCACTCACTTCCCACACCAGAGCTTCATGCACATTTTTCTTGGAAGGTGTGCAAGGGAGTGTTGTCATTTTATCCCATGCCATGCGCAGGTGGGTCAAAGTGCAGGTTGTTAGCGAGGCGAAAGGAACTGGATAGAGTTAGCACATAATCTTGTGATTTTGTGGAGGGGTGGGGATGGGGGAATGGGGGCGTGGAGACTAAGCAGGGCCTGGAGGAGAAAGCATGAAGAGAGGGGACATTGCAGGCTCCTGAGCATTTGGGATTGAGCAGCCCAACAGCACTTACCTGGAGCCACTGGGACCCTGGGCACAATGTTCTTGCCTTCTAAGAAGGACCTCAAGACCACCCTGGAGGTCTTTGCTCTTTTCCAGTGGACCTTCTCTGCCTTGATAATTGGTGAGACTTTCACCTTTGACAGGGTGACCAACTGTCCAGATTTGCCTGGGACTGAGGGATTTTAGGATCAAGCTGGACTCTGGATAGTCCTCAGCACATCAAGCTTGTTTGTCCCCCTGGCCTGGAGGCTGACGTACTTTGTGTGTGTGTGTGTGTGTGTGTGTGTGTGTGTGTGTGACACAGCCTTGCTGCAGATGTGTATGTTGAAAGTTCCTGGGTCTGCACTGGGGCACGGAGTGCATGTTTTGTGAAAATGGGAAGCACTTGCACAGAGGCTCGCCAAGGACAACGGCTGAACTGCAACCTGAGGATATTTTCAGCATTCTGAATCCTCCTTACTCTATTCCAACTATTTCTCTTTTTCCATAGCACTTCACACTAGGTAACCCATTAGAGTCTAGCAACCTGAAGAACTGGAGCAGATCACAGGTGGGAGAGCATCGTTCTAGTGACAGAGGGAGGCTGCCAAGCCTGTGGTGTGGAAGAATTCATCCAGCTATCCATCCCCTTTTCTACTCTCCACCACAAACACTTGGTGAAGTCAGTTCTCTGCTGACCGCTGTGTTCTAAGCGCTGAAGCAAACCATCCCTAGGGGAGGGAGGTCTAGACAAATTCTCGTTTGTCAGGTGGTTTAGGCGAGTACTGGCTGGACGCAGGGACGTGGATGAAATGGCTTGTCATACCTGGGAAGGAAGAACGCACGGTCTCTGGCTCTATGAGCCGGGGCTTGCCATTGACTAGGGAGAATGGGCTAGAGCACAGGGAATGGGCTTAGAGGCCTGCCTGGGGTGGGACCAGGACCCCAGTGCTGAAAAGAGCAGTGTTAATCTAAGAATGCCAGGCAGTCAGAGCTGGAAAAGACCAGGAGAAAGGAATTCATAGGTGTTAGGTACGTGCTGTGTTCCAGGTACGTTCACACCTGTTATTTCATGTTAGCCTCATGCCAACTTTATGAGGTACAGGCTATTGTTATATATAATCATACATCCTAATAGTGACACACTCGTATGATCGTGGCGCTCACGTGTTAGCTGCCATTGATCACAACTCTTTTTCCAGTAGCCACTGTTCAAAGCAATCAATGTATGTGCCGAGGGATCTGAGGTTCATGTCCGGTGAGCGGTCTGGTCAAGGTCACACGGCTAGGAAGTGGAGCAGCTGGCCTGGGACTTGAGCCCACAGGACCTGATTCTAACCTATGGGTTTCTCCCCTTACGTCTTCCATCACCTCACTGTTGATTAGGAGGTTGGGTGGACGTGTCCCTGGAGTACGTGTGGGGCCAGAAGAGTAGGAGGAAGCCAGACCTTCTGTGTACGTGAACATTCCTGACTGAAAGGCGCAAAGGGCCAGCTCAGAATGACCTCACTGTGGCACAGGCCTTGTGGGGCACTCCCTTCGGTAACGGCCGAGTCCCCTGTCCGGGTGGAGTGGTGACTATTCTCATTCTCATCCCCCCAGCTACTGGGGCTCAGAAAAACAAAAATAAAAAAAAACCAGAGATGAATCTACCAGAACTTGTCTGCCAGAGGTGGGCTGCTCCACCACCTGCTTTTTCAAATGGGCTGTGGCTTTGGTGCTTGGTGCCGCTATTCTTCAGGAAGAGCAGCTTCCCTGCCTGGGCTGGGCCTTCTTCTGCTTTGTTAGCAAGGCTGCTTTCTTCTTTGGCTTGGGCTCCAGACTTCTCAGAAACTGCAGTCAGCATCCTTATGGCACCTGCAACCAAGTCCTGCCTGGAGACCCTGCTCTGTCCCAGAAGCTTTAGGGTGTTGAGTTTGGTTCCACTGGCTTTCTGGAGTTCTTGTCCTATGCACACAGACTTGATTCATGGCCACCCTCTCCCCTCCCCTTGCTGCCACTGTGCTATCACAGAAGAGCAGTCTTCAAAGCCACCCTAGGCCAAGGGCCCATGTAGGGAGGGAGTTGGAGCCTCTAGGCTGGTATGTGTCCTTCCTCAATCCAGTCCCTAATCTCACTCCTGGGAGGTAAGCGCTGTTAACTGTTTTGGTTTTTGTCTCTATAACCAGAAATTATGGACACACACACACACACACACACACACCTTTATAGCCAAGAGGTAGTAAAATATGGGTGTTAAAAACACAATCTCTTACCCTGGCCAGTTTGGCTCAGCAGTTAGAGAGTCAGCCTGCAGACCAAGGAGTCTTGGGTTCGATTCCAGTCAAGGGCATGTACCTTGGTTGTGGTTCGGTCCCTAGCCCCAGCCCTGGTTGGGGTCATGCAGGAGGCAACCAGTGGATATGTCTCTCTCATATTGATGTCTCTCTCTCCCTCTGTCTCTCTCCCTCCTACTCTATCTGAAGATAAATGGAAAAATATCCTTGAGTGAAGATTAAAAAAAAAACACACCAAAAAACCACAATCTGTGACCAGGCCTGTGTGGCTCAGTGGATGGAGCGTCATCTCATGGACTGAGAAGTCCTAGTTCGAGTCCTGGTCAGGGTACATGCCTGGGTTGTGAGCTCGATCCCCAGTGTGGGGTGTGTAGGAGGCAGCCAATCAATGTTTCTCTCTCACATCAATGTTTCTATCTCTCTCTCCCTTCCTTTCTAAAATATCAATAGAAAACATTAAAACACACACACACACACACACACACACACACACACACACACAATCTCTGGAGCCAGACTGCCTGTGCTCAAATCCCAGCTCTACCTCTTACTCTCTGTGCACCTTGAGCAAGTCATGTAATCCTTCTGAGCTGTGTTTTCTTCATTTGTAAAATAGGCATATTCAGGGGCATTTATTGAGATGGTCTAGGTAGGCTGTGGTAACAAATGAACCCTGAAATCTCAGTAGCACAACCCAGCAAATGTTTATTTCTTGTTTGTGTTAAACATCCAACACAGGTTGCTGAGTGTCTCTGTTCTCTGTGGACACTAATGTTCAGGTCGACGGAGGTCCCAGCAAATTGTGATGCTGTAAAATGTGGCTTTTGAGATTTGCACAGTAGGGGAAGGAAAAAAGATGGAGAACTCCTGTGCATCTCCAACCAAAAGTGATAGATAATGAGTTATAGCCTTAATTTGCACTTCCTTAATGATGAGTCACATGGAACATCTTTTCATATATTTCTTAGCATTTAGTATTGCTTTTTCTGTTAGCTGCCCGTTGCTGACCTTTGCCCATTTTTCTATTGAATTTGAGTTTACTCTGGAAGGACAAACAAGAAATAGGTGAAGAAGGAGGAGTGTTCAGGGCAGAGAGTGGGCAGCATATGTATGACAAGGCTAGGGTGAGGGGGGAGCATAAAGCATTCAGGGAGCTGCCAGTGGTAAGTGGGATGAGGGGGTAAGAGGCACAGAACTGATGCTTCATACATATTGAATGAATGAATGAATGAATGAATGAATCAGAGAGAGGAGAAAGAGGAGACTGGAGAAGCAGGCAGGGGGCAGATGGTACAGGGCATTGTAAATCATGGGAAAGAGTGTGGACTATTCTTTTTTTTTTTTTTTTTGACTGGTCCTCTCCTCTGGGGGGAAGGTCGTCCTCTTCAACCGAGTGTGCAGCTTCAGGAGGGACGCACATGGATCGGTGAGGGAGGCGGGGACACCCGCCTAGCCAGCCAGATCTGCTGAATCAACCCTGGCGATCAATGGGGTGACAGATGTCGCAGCGAGATCGCCCTCACATCCTGGACTGTTTCTTGAGGGCTGTGTGGAGCCACGATAGTGCTTGGCACTGTGCCAGATTTGTGCTTTTGAGAGATTGCTCTAGGTCCCTGTAGCAAAGCAATGACAGCAAAAGGCTGTTGTAATCACCCAGGTGAGAGTTGGTGGTGATTTGGGCCAAATCAGTAGTAATGAGGATGGAGAGAACAGGCGAGAAGGAGAGAGATTGAAGGAAAAGCAGCAGAATGAATAACACTCGATGCACAGAAGATGTGGGAGAAAGGCAGGAGGCAAGCCTGAGGGTTCAGGTCCTGGTGTGAACTGAGGGGTGAGGAAGGCGAGTGGCCAAAAGGGGGAGGAGTATGGGGAGGAAACCGTCACTTCGTTTCAGTTGGACTTCGCACGTACAGAGGCAGTATGGAGCAGGCAGGAGAACTGTAGGCCCTGGCCCCAGCAGAAGTGGGTACCAGTGCTCGCCCCTCCCCCAGTAGCTCACGTGGGGCAGGTGGGGCACTGGGTGCCTCGGAGCCTTCCCAGCTCTTCACCCTAGGAGTCTGTGAGTGGAATCCTATCCATTTGGATCCTAAAGGCCTTAAGTGGACACTCTTACCAAACGTCTGTGGGGAAGAAAAGGCACATATTGGTTCTGTAATTCCCACTTGGTAGATGAGGAAGTGATGTTCAGTGACGTGTCTGTGATGGTACTCACAGTGAGTGGCAGATCCCCCTTCGTAGTCCCTCCACAGGGCACTCTGCATAAGGCCACACTGCCTGGGGTGGAACAAAGCCTGAGGGAATAAGGGTGGCCTCCCTTTATTTCTTGAAAAAGTCAAATAGTATTTTGTTGTTGTTTTTCATTCTCACCTGAGGATATTTTTCTATTGATTATTAGATAGAGTGGAAGGGAGAGAGAGAGAGAGAGAGAGAGAGAGAGAGACATTGATGTGAGAGAGACACATGGATTGGTTGCCTCCTGCACGACCCCGACCAGGGCCAGGAATCAAACCTGCAACCCAGATACGTGCCCTTGACTGGGAATCAAACCTGTGGTCCTTTGGTCTGCAGGCTGATCTCTAACCGCTGAGCCAAACCAGCCAGGGCTGTTGTTTTTTTAATTGTCAGCTGAGGATATGTTTATTTATTTGAGAGAGAGAGTGATGGGAGAGAGAGAAAGAGAGTGAGAAAGAAACTTCAACTGGTTGCCTCTCATAAGTGCCCCCAACCAGGAACAAATCTGCAACCTAGGTATGTGCTCTGACCAGGAATTGAACCCACAACCTTTCAGTTTAATTATCAAGATTTTCCACAGACATGTGAATCTCTCAATATGTGCAAATGCATCAGGAGTCGAGATCTTTTTTTTTTTTTTTTTAAATGTTCCTCCTTTTTTTTTTTAATTTTTAAATTTTTTTTATCCTCACCTGAGGACATTTTTTCCATTTTTTTGTTCAGGTAGAGTGGGAGGGAGAGAGAGGAAGAGAGAGAGAGAGAGAGAAACATCGACGTGAAAGGGACACATCGAGTGGCTGCCACCCGCACGACCAACCAGGGCCGGGGACAAACTGCAACCGAGGTATGTGCCCTTAGCGGGAACCGAACCCGGGTCTCTTGGGACTTCAGGCCGATGCTCTAACCGCTGAGCCAAACTGGCCAGGGCAGGAGTCAAGATCTTAAGTCCCCTCATCCCCTCCCCTCCTCTGCCACTTTTTTTTTTTTTTTTTTTGTGGTACGTGCCCGTAGTGGGAACTGAACCCAGGACTCTCTGGTCCGCAGGCCGACGCTCTAACCGCTGAGCCAAACTAGCCAGGGCTTCTCTACCACTTTTTAAAAAAAGTTTCATGGTGCCCTGGCCAGTAAGAAAGATCTCGTACCCTTTGAGACGACATGGAGGGACCTGGAGAGTATTATGCTAAGTGAAATAAGCCAATTAGAGAAAGACAAGTACTATATAATCTCACTTATTTGTGAAATCTAACTGAATAAAATAAACTGATGAGCAAAATAGATGCAGATATATGGAAGCAGGGAACAGACTGATGAATCTCAGAGGGCAGGGAGAGATTAAGCAAAGAACTTCTGTGCATGTATGCATAGCCCATGGGTACAGATGATAGTTCGGTGAGGGCAGGGGCTGGGGCCAGAGCAGTGGGTCAGTGTGTGGGGGGGTATCTGTATCCACAGTAAAGAAGGTCTTGTCTTTCCCTGGTAGTCTGTCCACTGATGCTTCACAGGTGTGTGTGCAGGAACATGTGCCAGGGTGTGGACGTGAAAGCGCTCAGTGGACAGAACACGGCAGGGAGGGCAAGTGTGAGGCACCTGTCACAGCTCATTAACCCTGGGCTGGGCTTCCTCCAGCAACCCTCATAATCTTTGTCAACGTCTACCTGCTGCTGTTCACGCGGTACTGGCCTGTCCCCGTGCTCATTATCATCTGGCTGGCTTTTGACTGGAAGACCCAGGAGAGAGGTAACCGTGCGGGGACCGTGCTGCTACCTGACGCGTGCTCTTTCCTCTTCAAATTGCTAGGAAGGCCCCGAGGAGGCCGGGAGCAGGTGAGGGTAGGGGCCCTAACCTACCATAGCCCACCCTGGTTGTCACTTAAGAGGCCCGGAAGCAGTAGTGGGTGAGAGTACCTTGTGCAGACCTAGAAGGGCTCTGAGGAACACAGTGGGGGTGGGCACAACTTGGCTGCATTGGCTGTTTTCAGGTGGCCGCCGCTTCAACTTCATGAGGAGTTTCTGCTTGTGGAACCACTACCGTGACTACTTCCCCGTGAAGGTGAGCAGCCCCGGGCCCAGCCCTAGCTCCGGTGCTCACGGCTGGGTCAGGGTGGGGATGGTGAGTGATGCCCTCTGGAGTCTTGCGTTGCCCAGTCTTCAGGGCCGGACGTAGCAGCCCTTTCCCTCCGAGGTCTCCATCCTCACTGCTCTTTCCTCCACAGCTTTTGAAGACTCATGACATCTCCCCTGACCAAAACTACATCCTTGTTTGCCACCCCCACGGGTTCCTGGCCCATTCGTGGTTTTCCAACTTCGCCACAGAAACCACGGGCTTCTCCAAGCTCTTTCCCGGCATCACCCCTGACGTGCTCACACTGGGAGTCTTTTTCTGGCTGCCTTTACTTAGAGACTATGTCATGGCATTAGGTGAGTTGGCTCCTAGGACAGAAAGCAAAAATTACAATGGCTTCCTGAGCCCTGGCCGAAGCGGCTAAGTGGTTGAGCGTCATCCCATGGACTGAGAGGTCACTGGTTCGATTCCCGGTCAGGGCACATGCTCAGGTTGCAGGCTCAATCCCCAGTAGGGGGGTGTGCAGGAGGCAGCTGATCAATGCTTCTAACTCACATCGATGCTTCTATCTCTCTCTCTCTCAAAAAAAAAAATCAATAAAAACATATTTTAAAAAATGGCTCCCTGCGGAAGAAGTATTGGCGGAGTGGGTGAGAGCAAGGCCAACTCTGCGATCCCCTCTAGTCTTCAAGAGCTGCGCTAGGCTCATCCGCCTGAGATGAGGCTCTCTCCTCCTGTGAAGAGGAAGGGAGGAAGGCTAGTTGTTTGGGGATGTGGCCAATGACCTTTTGACTTTTTCTGCTCACTAGGACTCTGCTCTGTGAGCCCATCCTCCATTGACTATCTGCTTACCCACAATGGCACCGGCAATATGCTGGTGGTGGTAGTCGGTGGCCTGGCAGAGTGTAGGCTCAGCTTCCCAGGGTGTACCATGCTGTTCTTGAAGAATCGGAACGGGTTTGTGCGCAAGGCTCTTCAGCACGGGTAAGGACAGTCCTGGTCCCGACTCAGGAGAGCAGTTTTCAAAAGTCCAGCAGGGAAGGAGGAGGAGATTTGTAAACAGGGAGGGGACACTCCTTCTGTGTTGAAGTAGTCTGGGCCAGGTCCTGGAGGCATTTCTGCTTCGGAGGAAAGGCCGGACGGCCAGTCCCAAGTCTGCTGTCCCTCACATTCACCTCTTGTCTGGGTCAGGCCCTCTGTGGCAGGTGCCTAGCTGCAACCCTGTCTCAGAGAGAGCCAAACTACTGCACAGGTTCAAGGGGAGAAAGGAAAATGAAATGTTCCTGGAGTTTTCTCTTCCCGTGTTTCAGCCCCGTGGCTGTGTCCCCACAGGAAGCCTGGGGTAAACCATAGGGCCCTCACGCTTGGCCTGGACCTAGGCCCAGCTAAGTTTGGGGCTGAGGAGCCTGTAGGCAGACCCTGAGACCACTGGTGCTCAGCATGTGTGATTTTCAGCAGGGTCCTGACCTATCTGGCCATCCAAGGACTCACCTTTGCTCTACAGGGTGCCTCTAATCCCTGCCTATTCATTTGGGGAGATGGAACTCTACGATCACCACGTTTTCACTCCTGGGAGCTTGGTCAGTCGCTTCCAGCAGTGGTTCCAGAGAATGACCCACATCTACCTTGGTGCTTTCTCTGGACGTGGCTTCACTGAGAACTCCTGGGGCCTCCTGCCCTATGCTCGGCCCCTAACCACCATTGGTGAGTGGGCCCTTCTGCTGGTGACCTTGTTTGGGCTCTAGATCATTTCTGAGGCTGAGCCTCGGCTTTGGCTGCATCTAGTGGTGGGGGGGCTGGCCAGGATGGGTGCTGTTGGGGCGATAAGGATGGGCTGGAGGGCTGAGGCCCATCCTGAGGAGTGAGCTATTCAAATGCTTCTCTTTGCCTTCTCTGTGTCCTCTGGCAGTCGGGGAGCCTTTGCCCATGCCCAAGATTGAGAAGCCGAGCAGGGAGGAGGTGGACAAATACCACATGCTCTATGTAGAAACCTTGCAGAAACTGTTCAACCAGCATAAGACCAAGTTTGGCATCCCAGAGACCCAGAAACTGATGATAGTCTGACACGCATCCCTGGTGGCTGCTTGGCCTGGCTGGAAGGTATGGAACCAGTAAACAGGGGGACATAGGTCATGTATGGGGTTCCTGCCCCTAATTCGGCCAGCCCTCAATGCGGGGAGTGGCTGTCCATTTGATTGTTTTCTAAACCCCAACTGGTCCTTCACCTCTCTTCTCCTTCCAGTGCTTCTCTGCCTTTTCCTCGGAGCTACAATGGACAGAATCAAAAGCCAATCTTCTGATACTGCTTGTGCTCTAACCAACAAGTTTGAGAGCCCAGGATCCCTGTACATTTTCCTTTCCCTAGCTCTCAAGCAGCCCCATCTCTCCTGGCATTGAGACTTTTGCAAGACTGGGTTGGGCTTTGAGCGTAGGCTCCACCATCTTCAAGCCATGTGACTCAGAGCAGTCACCTCTGAGCCTCAGTTTGCTGCTCTGTAAAATGGGACTAATGATCCCTTGTCTGCTTACCTCAAATGATATTGAACATGATGGAACTTTGTAAATTGGGAGAGCTGCACAAAATTCTTCTTCTGTAATCATTTTACCCATTTCCTGTCCCTGAGCAAAAATGACCTAAAGTTGCCCTGGCCGGTTTGGCTCAGCGGTTAGAGCATCGGCTCACGGACCAGAGAATCCCGGGTTCGGTTTCTGCTAAGGGTACGTACCTCAGGTGCAGTTTGTCCCGGCCCCTGTTGGGGCCATGTGGGTGGCAACCACTCCATGTGTCTCTCTCACATCGATGTTTCTCTGTCTCTCTTCCTCCCTCTCTCCCTCCCGCTCTATCTGAAGATAAATGCAAAACTGTCCTCGGGTGAAGATAAAAAAAAACAAAAAACGACCTTAAGTTGGCATCTCAATGTTTAAAAGAAAGTGTACACTGGAGGGTCTTGTCAGCAGTCCTTTGAAAATTTAATTAATTGATACCCTCTACCACCCCTGTTCCACACTCAGTTTCTACCTCATAATGCTGCCACAGAATGGGTCAGTCCTGGTCTGACTTCCTGTCTTTCCCCCTGGCAACCTGCTTATCCTCGTCTGGTTCTTGTCACTCTGCCCTTTGTCAGAGAGTCAGTCACGTTGCTTAAGATGGAAGTGGGTGGCTGGCTTCCGTCCACCATAAACCTCTCCTTCTGGATGGTGAGTCCCTCAGGCTCTTGCCTCAGTGATTGTTGGTAATGGCAGGTTACATAATTTGGCCCCTGACCCCCTGTTCTATTCCTCTTGGGTGGATGCCATTTTGTCCTGATGATTTGTCCCTAATTGAGTTGTCAGTTTGGTCTAGAACATCCTGTATACTCACCGGTGTGACCCGCCGCTTCTGCCCTGGGTGCCTGCCTCCTGAGATGATTGTCCACAGGGGCAAAGGCCTAAGGCGAAGGGGATGGGGCGTGTGGGCTAAGGCCGAGAGGAGGTGGGAAGCCTGACAGGAAGTTCCGACTCCCTCCCTTCTGCTGTCCCCTCTGAAACTGGTTTCTTCTGGCTCATGGGTGGCAGCACCTGCAAAAAGGCACCTAGCGTGTAGGAAGTGCTCAAGCTGATTTCCAGAACAGAGGGGAAAAAGCTTTATTTGCAAAGAATAAACCATTAATTTATACAAACTTACATCCCAGTCTATATACATTATGTATAGTTTATATACACAGTATTTCACACTGGGTGCTGCCCCCCCCAAAGCAGCACTGGGCCTGCTCCAGGCCATTCTCATATCCCAACTCCCCTGGGAGAGCCCTGACAGGGGATTAAAAGACAAACTCTGGCTCCCTCTTTGTGCTCACAGGGCCTCGGGGAGCCTCCAGGCAGGAGCTGGGAGAACGCCCAAGGGGAGCGAGTTCTGATGAAGGCGCGGCGGCTCTGTCCCTGCCTGGCCAGACTCCAGAAGGGGCAGCGCTTCCAGCCTGGAGTCTGGGGGCAGAAGAAAGAAGGGGGGCTGGGTGGGGCAGAGACTGCTCCACCCCGCACTCTGCTGAGCCTTCGGGCTGTGGCTCGTTCACCTTGGGCAGGCCACCTCCTCTCTCTGGGCCTCAGTTACCACGTCAGTGATGTGAGGCAGAACGTAGGTTGGGCTGGATTCCCCCAAGGGTCTTTCTGGCTCTAAATTTCTCTGAATGTATTTGCATAAAACACACAGACTTACATGTGGATCAAAGTCTCTTTCACTTCCAGGATTCCTAGCCCTTTCCTGCTCAGCAAAAGAAATTTGGCTCAGGATGGATGACGGGGAAATGAGGCAAGACTACATTTTCCAAGGAACCAGGAACTGAGCAGCCCCGACGGCTGACTTCGTGCCAGCTTTGGCTGGTGAAGCCCAAGCAGCTGGCAGGGGCTCCTGCCATGCAGTTCTCCTGCAAACCTCTGTCATCTGCCTGCTCACAAAAGTCCTTGTCCCATTCTTCATGCAAGACTGGGCCTTCTGCCCGGCCGGTGTGGCTCATGTCCCATGGACTGAGAGGTCCCAGTTTGATTCCCAGTCAGGGCTCATGCCTGGGTCGTGGGCTCGATTCCCAGTGGGGGATGTGCAGGAGGCAGCTGATCAATGTTTCTCTCACATTGGTGTTTCTATCCCTCTCTCTTCCTTCCTCTCTCTAAAACATCAATAAAAACGACTGGGCCTTCTGCTAAACTCACATCAGCATCATTCCAAATGGTGAATCTATGTCCACATTCTCTTATTAGTAAATTGCTTCAGTACTTTGGCAGTAACTGGGTTCCCCAGCTACCTATTGCTTCCTGCATGACCCCCTCCCTCTAGGGTTCCTTTTGAGGGTTCACAATGAATCAAGGATTTGTGTGAATCCTGTCTCCCCTATCATCCCCTCCGTATCTGGAGAATAGGATAGGTGTCAGAATGTCACGTAGGACCACAATTAGGAAACCTTTTCCTTCCTTCTCCTCACAGCCTTTTGACTTTAGAACCAGTCTTCACTGTTCCCTCCATCCCTGAGAGATCCTGGCTGTCCAGAGTTCCCTGTGGTATGCTAGCAAGAGATAAGGAGTCACTTAGTAGCCGCGGGAAGTGGCCAGCTCCTATAGCCCATCTGTAGAGTAACCAAAGAAGGACCTCACTTGCAGTAGGGACTCCATATGTAATAGTTGGTTGGTTCTTGGGGTTGGTAAAACAACATAAGTGGTTTCAGTTCCATGGGTGCTGCAGACCTACTGCTTGGACACGGTGTCAGACAGTTCTTCTGAACACAAGAGCTCTGAGGCTGATGGCTGTTTCCCAAGGAAACATCCTACTCTTTTGCCACAAAGCCTCTGGTAGCCAAGACAACAGGTATTTTCATTAAGGAATGAAAATGAGCATCTCTGGGTTTCTCCCTAGAACACATAAGGATTTGGGGTCCATATTACTATTTTTATTGGTTCTCTCAGAACCCCCAATTCAACACAGAGCTGTGGCACCATGGAACAGTGTTGGAGTCAGGGGTGGCTGAATGAAGCCCCAGGCCTGTGATGTCAGCAGGGTTAGATCATGGTCAAAGCACTTAACCTCACAGAGCCTCGTCTAAACAACAGGGTTAGTAATATCAAAGGAAATAGTAAGAGAGAAAGTTCTGCCCTGGTCAATGTGCTTCAGCGGCTAGAGCATCAGTCCACAGGCCACAGGGTTGCGGGTTTGATTTCGGTCAAGGGCACGTACCTGGATTGCAGGTTCGATTCCCGGCCCTGGTTGGGGTGCGTCCAGGAGACAACCAATTGATGTGTCTCTCTCAGATCAATGTTTCTCTCTTTCTCTCTCATCTTCCACTCTCTCTAAAAAAATCAATGGAAAAATATCCTTGGGTGAGGATTAAACAGAGAAAGAGGTGGGGGGGGGAGGGAGAGAGAGAGAAAGAGAAGTTTCCAAATTTTAAGGAGACATTGTCATCTGTTCCTGCTATGCCCAAGGACTGTCCAAGGCACTGTACAGAGCCAGGCCACACATGTGCCTTAAGTTTGCTTCACCTGGGTTTACAAGGCTGTCATTGGCAACTAGACAATGACGGTGCAGATCCCCACCTCCTGCCCTAACTCTTAAAGGGCCAAGCAATGTAGTTGCTTAGAAAGGGAAGGCACAGCTGTGGAGTGAGTTCCTGCAGTTCTTGGTAAATTTCAGCTGCCCAAAGGAACTTAGTTTCCATCTCCTCAAAAGGAAACTTGTTTCATGAGCAAGAGTAGCAGACTGTACAAGAACGGCCCTTCCAGCTTTGGGCCAGACCCAGCACCCAGGAGCGGGGCTGGGCCCAGGCAGTTAGAAATAAGGCCCTTGAGCCCAGACTGGTGTGGCTTAGTCAATTGAGCATCATCCCATGTGCCAAAAGGTTGCTGGTTAGATTTCCGGTCAGGGTACATGTCTGGGTTGTGGGCTCCATCCCCAGTAGGGGGGCATGCAGGAGGCAGCCAATTGATGTTTCTCCCCCTTTCTTTAAAATCAATTAACAAAAGAAAGAGATAAGGCCCTTGAATGGTCGCACCATATGATCCGGTGGGAAGCTTGGGGAAGTGGCAGAGCCCTGGCCAAGATGCCTAGATACCAGCTTCTGAGCCTGGATTCAGGGGAGCAACACTAGAACTCATGCTGACTGTGCTGTGCCCTGGCTTTCTGAAGCCAGAGTGAAGGAAGTGAGGGTCAGCAGAGCATCAGCTGCTGTCCTTTCAGATAAGGCCGGGGCCACTGACCACTTGGCTTGTGGCAAACTTGAAAAAACCCCTGTCCTATGCCCACCTGTTGTCCTTGGTCAGGCAGAGAAGCTCTGCCCTGATGAGGCCCAGGGGCCGGTTAGGACTGGGAATTCTAGTAGGCGACTAAAGGAGCTGCCTAAATATTGGGGTTTGAAGGGACTTCTGGGGGTCGTCCACTACAGCACTTTGCCCTCAGACACAACTCGACTAGATGAATATTTGTGTGGCTTCATAAATGGAAGATTTTCTTTGTGCCCAGGGAATCTCAAGAGTATCCCGTATCCCACAGTCACATAAGCATAGGTCCCAGCTTAGGCACCTGTCTCAGACAGAGGTAGGCTCTGTGGAGAGAGACACAGGAGGTCTAGCCAGGCTGGGAAGGGTGGGGGAGGGGCGATTAGGAGGGGACCCAGGGAGTTTTCTGAGCCTGAAGCACAGCTGTAAACAAAGTGAAACACATGTGGCCCCAAGTCTGGCTTCAGGGTCTTCCGCAGGCAGGTTGGTGGCCATTCCCTGCAATCATTCCAAGGAAGAGCAAGCCTCCCATCCCCAAAGCCCTGGCGAGCTGCTGCGGCCGGCTCTCTGCCTGAGTGGGAAGAGCTCGCTGCCCATCTGCAGGTGGAGCAGCAGGAATACTTCCACTGCCCAGGTCGCCTGCTGGGCAGGTTTGTCCCTTGGTCTCTGCTACAAGCACCCGCCTTTGCCCTCCAGCCCCGCCCCTGCCCCACACCCACCCCAGACAGGAGCAGCAGCCCCTTTAGGGTCAGAAACGAGCCCTCCAGTCTGGAGTACACCTCTGCTTTCTCTCGCCTGCTGCCCCAGACCCTCACTTTAGTGCAACAAACGAGAACTCTGACCACAGGGACCTTGAAGTTGAAGAGTCATGCCATCAGCCAGTCAACATGGAGACAAGGAAGCCACTTGTGCTTCATGTAAACTCTGGAGCTCCATCAACTGTCCTGTTAACTCAAGGCATCACTGGGGAATAAATAGCAGTGGGGCCTTTCTCTCTGCAGCTGCAACACCCATATGCCTCACTCCACAGCAACACTTTGAGGTTCTGGGGGTCCCAGCTCCCAGACCTGGGACAAGGGCGTGGGCAGGGGTCAAATGGGGGGAATCTAGGATGAAGGGGCCTCGCCCAGCCTGATGGCCCCAAAGAAGGTGGTGTGCTTGCTCATGTTGATGGAGATGTCGGCGTGCACCATCTTCACGGCGATCTTCTGCCGGGCTTTGAGGAGGCAGACGCCTGCGGTGTAGCACGTGTTGTAGTTGGTCTTGCCCGTCTCGATGCTGCGGGTACACTGCAGAAAGGGCTTCTCGTCCACCACCACCTCATAGCTGGCAAAGTCAGTGAAGTTGATGTAGTATACCTGGGTGAGAGGTAACAAGAAGGGATTGGGGGAGAGAGGAAAGAGGGTGGGGCCCGCCCCTGTCATGAACAATGGGAACTTCTCAGACAAGCTGCCGGTACACCTTGCAAAGGGGTAGTGCCACTTTAGCTGAAGGCTTGCTAGTTAGCCCATAGGAAAGGCTTATACTCTGTCCTTCCCCGACTCTGTGGGGCTCAGGTGGCTGAGCAAATCTTTCAATAGCACACCACTTGTAAACTTTGAGGGCAAGGAACCTGCCTTAATAGCCCCTTTACCTCTCTGACCCCTCCCCCCCTCCTCTGCCCTGGCATGAAACAGTACTCTGTACAGAGGGTGGTCAATCAGAGCTATGGACCCAAATGAATACAAACTAACTTCCCCCAGTGGCAAGCCCCAAGGACTATTTGCACATAAAGTTCGAAGCCACTGGTTTTCCCAAGAGGGGACAGTGACAACTTGCCATTTCTTCAGCTGCTTTGCAGCCCGTCCCCGCCCCTGCGGCATTCCCCTCGTGGATTCTCAGCAGGCCTTGGCCCTCTCGGCTGACGATGGAGGAAACAGATCCAGAGAGATGGAGAGCTAGCCACCACAAATGAGGTCAAGAATTTGGAAGGGCAAAACCCAGGCCCCTAGCTTTACTTTGTGGCCACAAGGAAGTGTGAACCTACGTTTAACGGCCCAGTGTCCAAGGGAGCCCGAGGCCACTCCAGTTCTCTCCTAGGCCTGGAAAATTAATGTTTGTTCTTCACTACGCAGCCTTGATCCCCCACCAAATGGAGCTTAGGAAAAATGCACCATAGGTCACAGGGATTACATCCATGTGCCCCCTGGGGATCAGGACCCTCAATCACTTTATCAAAGGTTCCTCCCTCCCTCTTCAGGAGGGAGCACCGAATTCAGGTGCCACATAATTTCTTTGGTCAGCACTCAATCTGTGGACTCAGCAAGTGCTTATTAACCCACCTTCACTGGCCACTCCCCTGTGAGGCCCTGCTGCTGGCTCCACAGTCCTTCTGTCCTTCTGTCCATCTGCCTGCTTGCTGCCCACCCCACAGAAGCCCCGATCTCAAAGCTCATCTACCTCTAGCTCTGGGGAGCCACCCAGCGGAGGCAACCACCCGGGGGTGGAAGTGGCAGTCCTGGTGAGTGGGCCCGGGCAGGAGAAGGACAAAAACAGAGGCAGAAAAGGGCTGGGAGAATGACAGCAGGAAGAAGGCGAGGTGACGGAGAAACAGGAGGTAGAGAAATAAATGGGAGAAAGAGGAAGGAAAGATAGTCAGAAGTTTTTCAAGGCTGATAGAAAGTCCACGGGAGTACTTTTCATGACAAAGCCGGTGGTGTGGTGGAAAGGGTGCTCAGCAGCCCTGGAACTGACTTTCAGAGAATGTACCGAGATGGAGTTCAAGTTGGGCAGTGGAATCAAATGGGGTGGGGGTGGGTGGGTGGTGGGTGGGGGAAGAACAAGGGCCTGGGGCCCTGCAGGAGGCAATCAATGCCAGGGTGTGGGAGGGGCCTCTTTGCCGTTTTTTTCAATGATATCTGGCTGGCGGAAAAACCAAAACAGCCCCCTCTCTCTTTTCTTTCAACTCCCTCCCCGTATGGTGCCCCCAGCCCCCTCACCCGCCAAAGCAGGCTGGTCTTGGCTGGCTCCACAGTGCCCCTATGTGGCCTGCACCGGATCTGCATTCTGGATATAAGAAGAGTTAGGCCTAAGACCGTACTCACTTCTACCTGACTATAGATGAAGTAGGTGCCGTCCACCAGTACCTCCAGCTCCCCGCTGCGGGGATGTAGCTTAAACACCTTGGGGTTCATAGTGATGCGAGACCAGTCATTGAGCACTCCACCTGAAAGATCTCAGTATGAGAGAAGGGCAGTCACTCAGCACATGTCAGAATAATCTGGGCAACAGAAACAAGATTTATCAAGCAATACACAACCCCCACCCCTATTCCACCGCAACCTGCATAGCCCAGGGGGTCAAGCCTTAAGGAGAACATTTGGAACTACAGAAAGTTTTGTGTTTATAAAGCGGCTGCCGGGCTGGCCTCAGGACCCGGGGAACTGCTTGTCTGTCTTCCTCTCTCCTTCCCTGACCCCTCCATCTGGAGGGTCTTTAACCAACACCTTCCAGTTGGAATTGGGGGTGGGGAGTGAGAAGAGTGTGGGCACACGAACCTATTTTCTTTGTTGCTCTGGGGCCTGCACAGGCAAAATTCAGACACTGAGTGGCAGGCTAGCTCTGATGATTCCACTTTATTTCACCAGCCAGAATGCCTAAATTCCTCTCCTGTCTCACAGGTTCATGGATTTTCTCCTTCTCCATGGGAGATTCCTTCACACGCACTCCTTTCTGGAAAGTCTTCCTTTCCCCCAGGAAAAGCTTAGCCCAAGGAATGGTCTATACCCGGAGAACCTTAGTGACCAGGGGTGTCAGACTTCACGGCAGCCAGAGAGTGTGACTCCATGGGGGAGAAGGGTGTTTACGAGAGGGAGGGCAGCCTGCCAAGCAGCGTGAGAACCAGCCCAGGGGATGGCAAGGGTGTCTGGGAGCTGAAGCACCCCTGGAAAAGCTTCTGTCTCTCCAACCCACCCATTCGGGGCGGAGGGGCCATCCTACCACCTAGGCTGGACACTGGGCACCAGCAGGGGAGGACAGAGGAAGAGCTTCCCTTTCCATCCTGCAGAGAGGGGGGAGGGGGGATGTCTCCCTGCCCCAAGAGAAGGGAGTCCAAGCCTCTGGGGCCTCTCCCCCTCCAAACTGTCCATTCTCAACCCAGGAAATTAGGTTTTGAACATCCATCTTTGGCTACTCTCAGGAGGCCCATCTTCCCTTGAGGTAATGATGGGACGGGAGTTGGGAAGAGATGCCCTGGCTCAGCCCCTTCAAATCCACTCTGCATGATATCCTCCTACCCCCATTCTCTCACTTCTGCTCCTGGGCGTTGGCCTAGAAGGGTTGGGACTAGTCTTGCGGTGTGCTAGTGGGAGCAAAATCAGGAGTTTCTGGCGCAGAATAAACACTGAGGCTACTTATCCAGACACCCAAACATATCTGTTTCCTGTCTGTCTCACGCCTCCCCGGACAGAGAGTGGTCACAACTCACCCAGAGCCCTGGGGCACCTGGTCCCAGCAGGACCACTTGGGTTCTGGTGCCATTCTGCTCCTACTTATACTTCTGCAGCTATTAAGTCAGCCATGCAGGTGGCAGTTCCGATGCAGCTAAGCCCAGTCATTAAGAAAGCTCAGCCCAGCCAGTTCGAGACTGACTGGGCTCTTCCAAGCTGGCCCCATGTAGCAGGTTTCTTGACCTGCATATACTGTATCTGCACTCATAGCCCTTCCCTTTCCCTCCAAGTTCTGCGCGCCTTTGGCATCTTGGCTGGCTTGCTACTTCCCAAGGCTCCTGGGGGGTTCACGCCATTCATGCCCTGGGGACTGGACATTATTTCAAAGCGCTGTTTTTCATGAATGTTCACGTCTCTTTAGGGAAGAACATGAACCTAATCATTCAGTGGTGTGTACGCACATCACTGAAGTACCACAGTGCAGTGGAAAGAGTCAGCCAGATGTCACTGTGAATCCCAGCTCCTACACTTAACTGAAATCTTGGGCCAGTTAATTCACCTCTCTGAGCTTCAGTTTCTGGCTCTGTAAGAAGGAGCTAATACCTACCTCATAGGATTGTTGTGGGGGTCAAATAAAATAAAAGCCAAAGAAAGCATGTTGAAAACTGTAAAGCACCATACAAATCTAAGGCACTATGATTTATTACGGTCTTGTCCAATCTCTCTGGGACTCTGTTTCCCCATCTTTTGAAAGCAAGAATTACATTCAATCAGCATTTCTTAACCTCCTTAAACCTGTTCTCCCTTTTTCCAGATGCTAGCATCCTGTACTTCCTGGAGAATCTAACATGCCCCCCACCTCCCTGTACAGATCCATCAGACACGAATTTATATTTATATACTTTTCCCTTCTCTAATTTGTGTTGTGAAAACATTGATAAAATTATACATATCCCCATGGTGACTCTGACAGAACCTCCATCACCCAACAATTCCCATCTATATGATGTCTCAAGTCCCTCTCAGCTTCCTCACCAGTGTTTCTAACTGCAATTTGGGTGTTGTGGCTGATCTTGGTGCAAGCAATTACCCAGGATGGACAGCAGAGGGCAACATGGAGTAGAGGATGGCTCCCTAGTGCCTAGGGTACCTCAGGGGTCTGGAAGGATCTAGGCTGGGTGATTACTTGGAAGCTGGGGGAGAGGAGGAGGAGAAGCTCCTGTTGGCTAGAGAGCCGACTTTGACTCTTACCATTCTTGACTTGAATTGCTGACCCTTGGCCCTGCAGATGCACCACAGCTGGCTGGGAGGATGAGAAGGACAGAGAGAGGAGTCACTGTGAGAAATATTTCCACCTTGGACTTCTAGTCTCCTTTCTGATTCCAATTCTGATCCTTCTTCCTTGCCTTGGGATGCTAGTGACCACCGTGTGACTAGAGAGTGATATGATTGTGTGGTTTGGCCACTTCCTAGCGGTGCAACCTCAACCAGATGTATGCCTCTAAGCCTTGTTTCCCTAACTGTAAAATGGGAATTTGAAAGATCTCTGGCCTCTCTCACAGGATGTTTGAAGATCAAATGAGGTGATGGATACAAAATTGCCCTGGAAGCCATCAAGCTTTGCGCAGCTGTGTAGGTTTAATGGTGGCCAAACAGCTGGAGCGAGGGAGGCTGAGATGAGAGGAGGCCAGGCAGTAGAACCTGCCAATAGAGACAGATTAGGAAGCTCAAAGACTAGGGAGGAGGCCTTCAGGCCTTTAAGGCAGAAGCCCAGGCTGGGCTTGGCCTGGAGCTGGTTGGCTGATTTTCAAGGATACACTCTTAAACTTCTAAGCTCCTGATCCCAGGCTGTCTGAGTGCCGACAAGGTGTCTGGGGGAGTTGGAGGCCCAGGTGAATAGGGCCTGTCTGGAGGCTCATTCTAGCTGACTACCGTGTGTGGACATGGTGACCCTCTGTCTGTTGTGGAATTGGGGAAATGGCCCTGGGAAGACTCAGCTCCCTTAGCCAAAGGCAGGCCCTGGGGCAAAGCTTTTGTGTTCACAGAGATGGGAGAGGCTGTGAGAGAAAAACCTCAGAACCTTCAGAGCAGCCTCACAAAATAAAGCCTGAGCACATTTAACGGAGCAAACTCAAAGGTGCCTCTAGCCCGTGGCTTTCCCTCCTCCCCAGGTAGAGAGCAATTCCCAGCCAACCTGGTTCTCTCGAGTTCCGGCTTTGTTAGCAGCACCTGTGAAATAGGACAGGGCAATCAGAGGGCATGCTCTTTCTCCTTCCCTTTGTTCTCACCTAGGCAGCCAGCGGCTAGGGGCGGTGCCCCCTGCAGCCAAACCTTGGGATGGGACAGGTCACCCCTTCCATCTGTCACTTGTCCCTGACCTGCATTTTCAGTGGGCCTGGCATCCAGCAGGGACAGTAGCCTCTTGCCATTGCTGACCCCAGGCAAGTCCCACTGAGCACACACAGGGACAGATGAGGGAGCATCACTGTGACTGTGTGATCCTGAGACAATGCTGTTAGCTTCTTTAGCCTTTTGCTTCCTTTCTATTAGTTTTCTTCATAGAGTGCGTTGCCATTTGTAAATATTCTACTTCTTCAATCATCTCCCTCCTCCTCTAGGACATAAACCACACGAGAATAGGGACCACTTATCAATGTATCTTTTACACGTAGAAAATGCTCAATTAATGTTCATGGAAAGATTGAATGAAAAACAATCTCCAAATCCATCTCTTGTTGCTATGGTCAGACTGATTAGCCTCATTTGAATTATGGCTCAAAGAATCTGAATCCTGCTACAGACTTCATGGACCTACAGACTTCATGGACCTAGAGTCAGCTGTAAAAAGTCTGTTTCTTTAAAGCCCCAAGATACAGGAGGGGAGCAGGAGAGGCAAATAACAACTGGCCAAGCCCAGGTAGTCTGACTCCTGTCAAGTCCAATCAGGCAGGTTTTGATCTGCCTCTATACCTCTTGGATGCCCTTCTGGGCCCAAAGGGAAAAATGCAAGGATATGAAATGCTATTCAAATGGGCAGTGTGGTGGGTGAGGATGTAGTGCAAAGAGCACTTGGTCTCTCAACAGGACAGTGTTGGTGCCTGGGCTTGCTTCTCCCACAGCCTGAGTAACTCTAAGTTTTCAACCTTGACTATCAGCAACTGCTTGTCTACCTCTATGAGAAGGGCACTTTAGAGTTCATGGGACGAGACCATTCTGGGGCTGGTATCTTGCCCAGTCATCAATATTCTTCCCCATATCAACATCAGCACAGGAGTTTAGATGCTGGGTATTGGAGCAGAGCCAATTCATCTCCTACAGCAGCTTCAGTGAACCCTCAGGGCCTCTGTCTCAGGCTCAGATGAGTTTACTGGCCCACTCCAGGGAAGCCTAGACGAAAGGAGGGCTTGTGATGGAAGGGTTGAGACAGGTCAAGAACAGGTGACGCGTCTTTGACAGGTTGGTATAAAGAAGAAGTTAGAGCCGGTTAGACCCTACTGACTTCTTTTATCTGTAGTTTTACACTGAGCTAGGAAACCTGCATTTCTTATTGAACACCCATGCCACTGGCACCATTTGAAACTGCTCTCAGGATCGCCCACCCCTGCTTTGCTAAAGTCCTGGTAAAGGAGCCTGAGGGAGGGTGGAGGAACAGGAACTCACCAGAAGGTCCCTGGAGGCCAGGGGGTCCTTGAGGACCAGGAGGACCTGGAGGGCCAGGTGGCCCCATAACAGTTGTTCCTGGAATTCCAGGAATCCCTGGGATTCCTGGAGGTCCCTGGGGTCCTGGAGGTCCTGGAGGTCCTGGGGGGCCATTTGGCCCAGGAGGTCCTGCCTTCTTTCCTGCAAGACAAGATTCAGTGTCACATTTGTAGTTATATTGTCTGAGGATGTACTGTCAGGAGTTCTATGGACTTCCAATGACAAAAAGTCAGCACTCTGGGAATTCTTGCTATTAAAGAGGTGAATAGCTTTATCACCGCCCCCCCCCCCCCCGTATGTGTGTGTCTCTCCCTCCTTTTATGAATGATAATTTACAGAGTTGGGTTTGAAGATAATAGAGATAAATGGCCCTCAAGGAGCTTAGTCTAGTGAGGAAACAGACATAATCACAGGAAATTAGAAGCACCACATTCATGGTGGGGTCAAAATGCTGAAGAGGTTAGGAAAGTCATGTCCCATTTCAGCTGAGTTCAAAGGATCTGAATTACCATGTGGCCAGACCTATGGGTCACTTTTTAGAACAGTGAGAACTGTCGAAGGGAGTGGCTTTCATGTTTACTTCCCAGTTCAGTGGACTTGATGCAGATGTAAGAGGAAGCTAGGAGCGCAGCCTGCCCTTAGGAATAACATCAGCTCCAGGAAGCTTTCCTCTGGGAGTCAGGATGTACAGGAACTGGGGGGATGGAGGAAGTGCTTGCTGGGAATGAGGAATGGGAAGGAGTTTGGGAGATGAGATGGGGGCTTAATGTGGGGAGGGGGGAAGGAAAGGGAGGGAGGGAGGGAGAGAGAGAGGGAAAGGTAAAAGAAAGAGGAGGAGATGGAGGAAAAAAGGAGAGGTGGGCAGTAGAAAGAGCTGAAGAGGAGGCAGCAGACTTTGCTTTCTCAGCTGATCTCTCTAAACCCTATTTTTAAAGGTCTCTGGGAAAGGAAATTCTACACACTCCCTTGGTAACAGGTTCCAATGTTTATCACCACTTACTATCAGGAACTTTTTTTTTTGTATATTTAATTGAAATCCCTTCTGTGGCAGTTCAAGGTCTTATTCAAGTGTTTGTGTACATAGTGAAGAATAGTTACCATCATACATATAATAACCCTCATATTCTCAAAGACACTGTCACTTATCAACCCCTCCATTTTTATATGATAGATAATCCAGCTTCCCAGTCTTTCCTCAGAGACCCTATTCTTGAATGTATTATTATTATTATCATTATTATTATTTTAAAACATGATTTTATTGTTTGTTTGAGAGAGAAGAAAAACATCAATTGGCTGTCTCCTGCACGCCCCATACCAGGCATTGAGCCCACAACCCAGCTATGAGCCCTGACCGGGAATTGAACTGGCGACCTTTAGGTGCACCAAACAATGCTCGATCTTCTGAGCCACGCCAGTGGGCTTGAATGCATTATAAATTAAGTCCATCAACTCCTCCTCCTTTTTGTCCCCACTATCCTTTCAGAACAGTCTTGAATCTCCTGTTCCATGTTCCAGTCCTCTCAACAGTCCCACCAGGATGTAGTTATGTTCACTGGCTCCTAACTATAATCTTGAATGCAAACCTCCAGATCCTCCTGTTTAATTCCTTTGCCCTGTACAGCCCAATTCAAGCACTGTAGGTGGTCACAGGTGGGTGTCTCCTTTGCACATTCACCACTTTCTCACACTTTTGTGGAAGTCCCAGGAATGGAAGTCTTTTATCAGACTCCACCACACTGTCTTCACCTGTGGTACTTTCATCATTTTCCATATAACCCTCTTGAGTCTCACTTAAATACCTCCTTCCTGCTCCCCAATTCCCTGCTCTGCAGACTCTTAGGCAGAAGAATCCTGTCTTGATTTATCATGTCCTCCTTTAAGAGTAATGCTGCATGTTCAAGAGACCTGATCCCCATGGCAACACGCTCAAAAGGCCAGTGGTATATGTCTAACCACATCTGCACTGGGAATGAAACAATGGGGTCATCATGGGGCCCTTTGCCCAGGGAGGAAAGGAAGGTCCAGAGAGCCTCTCTCCTGGGAGCTTTAGCATTTTCACTACACTTAGCAGCCAAATATTGCATCTTCCCGGTTTCTAGATCTAGCCAATTTCAAGATGCTGAACAGGAAAGCCATCTCCCTTCAGATCTGGGCAGCTTCCAAATAAGGCTCATTCAACGCCCAAATTTCAATTCCAGCTAGTGTAGTGGAAAAAACATGGAATCTGAAGTCAGGAGATAAGGCCGTAAGCTCCCAAATCCACCACGGACACATTTTGGGCAAATCCCTTCCTCTCCCTGAGCCTTAGTTTCAACATCGGTGATTTCTCTAAGTTTCCTCCCAAGACTGAGGTTTCTTAAGGAGGAATGACCCCCACCCCCGGCGGTCAGGAAACTTCTCTAGCCTGACTGTAAGGTTTGCTTCTCCCTCACTGTTCTCTGGGAAGTGTGAACACAGAGGACGGTGCATCTTAGGCTGTGCTACGTTGTGGAATTTCCAGGCCTAACAGTGATTTTTCAAGCTACAGGGTGCTGCAGACCTCACTGTCAAGGCTGTAAGTCTCTTGTGATTGCTAATGTAATTTTGGAAGAATTACAGCCAGAAACTCTTCCAGTGAAAGAGAATAATGGTTGCGGTGTAAACAGAGAAGGTTCACTTGTGAAAATGGTAGAAGGCACTTGGGAAAAAGCTCTTGCTGTGAAGTAGTTCTGCAGCTGGTCTTTGCTCCTCGGCAACCACGTTCAGGCAAGTGCTCTCCTCATGCTTGCAGAGTCATGGGAAGTTGGCCCGGAGAAAAGCATGACCCCTGGACCAAGAAGATGACTTTGGAGGATTGAATTCGTTCTCCGGATTTCCTTACTTTAACAGAGCACTTCATAACACAAAAGCCCGGTGACTTTTATACTTAGAAAGTTACCCTTTGTGGTCTTAGATGAAAGTATACATTCTTTTCAAAGCTAACTTTCATGAAAAGGTATTTTATTAACCTTTTAGCAAAGTCCAAATAGTTGAAAGAACAACTGAATGAAAAGCAGGTGAACAAAAATGTGGGGGGGGGGGAGAGGGAGAGAGCGGGAGGGAGGGAAGGAGAGAGGGAGGGAGGGAGAGAGGGAGAGAGAGAGAGAGAGAGAGAGAGAGGTGAAAGACAATATCAACCAGTTGCCTCCCATAACGCACAACCTGGGCATGAGCCCTAACTGGAAATAGAACCAGCAACTTTTCAGTACATGAGACAATGCTCAATGAACTGAGCCACACTGGCCAGGGCTATACTGTCTGTCTTAAAGGAATGTGACAAGAGTTAAAAACTGCATGTTTGAAAGTCAAATTTCCTTTCTTAAAAGACAGTTCTCTTGGTGAACACCCAGGCTCCATGGAGAAAGGTTTCCTTAGTGGCTCCACCTCTCTGGCTGTTTTCCAACTTAGCTCAGGTCCACAGGAGGTCAGGCCACTCCTTGGCTTCCTTAAAACAGGGATGCAGGTTTTCTATATGGGCCATGGCACCTCAAGCCACCAGAGCACCCTAGCGCTCAGAGAAATGGTAGGCGACAGCTGAAGCCAGTCTTTTTGGCCTAGTCTGGGGAGGACAATCTATTCTATAAAGCTCTAGAAATCTTAACCAACAGAATAATTTCATTTAAAACATTTTAATGAGCCCTGGCCGGTTTGGCTCAGCGGTTAGAGCATCCACCTGCGGTCCGGAGAGACCCGGGTTCAGTTCCCGGTAAGGGCGTGTGCCTCGGTTGCAGTTTGTCCCCGGCCCTGGTTGGTCGTGCGGGTGGCAGCCACTCGATGTGTCCCTTTTGCATCGATGTTTCCCTCTCTCTGTCTCTTCCTCTCTCTCCCTCCCACTCTGTCTGTACAAAAAGTGGAAAAATGTCCTCGGGTGAGGATAAACAAAACAAAACAAAACAAAACAAAAAAACATTTTAATGAAAAGACATTCATTTCATTCTATTTCCCCCAGGTCAGAGGCAGAAACAAATGGGTAGGTAGAACTGTTTTCACAGTAGGTTCTTTTAAGTCGTAAGAAGTAAACCATATCGCCTGGTCCTGTACAGTATTTTGGAAACTGTTCTTTCATTGGGTTCTCCTTAAGGCAGCAAGCTCTTGGGCCAGTCCCATGATAAGCACACCATAGACTTTCTGACCCCAGTGGCACAATGGGTCTGCTCAACTAGAGCTTCTTTGAAAAGGTTAAAAGATTGATATTACTCTAGCCTAGTTTTTTCATTACAGAGAAAAATGATATTGAAACCCCAAAACAAGAAATACCTTACCAGCTGTGGCTTGTGTGGCTCAGTTGGTGGAGCATCGACCGATACATCAAAAGGCAAAAGGTTGCCTGTTGGTTTGATTCCCAGTCAGGGCACATGGCACATGTCTGGGTTGTGGGCTCAGTCCCAGGTAGGGAGCAAGCAGAAAGCAGCCGATCAATGTTTGTCTCTCCCTCTCCCTTCCCCTTTCTCTCTCTCTAAAAAAAAAAATCTATATCTATATCTATATCTATATCTATATCTATATCTATATCTATATCTATATCTATATCTATATATCAATAGAACATCTTGAAACAAAGAATGAAAAAAAAAAAAAACAAGAGGCAGGGGTCCACTGTATACCAAGACTATGACTGCAACTGACCCCATGCCTGCCTCTTTGTATTAAAAAAAAAAAGGAATACCAGAATACCTTCCCTGACTATCTGAGAAACATGATAGGGATAACTCTGAGGCCAAGGAATAGGGTAAAGACATTTTTCAGGAGGTAGTATTTCTAGTCCCTGTAAGCTGTCTCAGGACTTCATTCATATCTGATCACTGACTTAAAAAAGGAGGGGAAAAAGAGAAAGAAGAAGAAGGGCAGGGGAAAGAGCAAGGAAGAATAAAGGAAAGAGATAGAAATGGAATGCTATGGAAGAAGGAGCAAGAAAGAAAAACAAATCAACTTTCTTTGGTTGCCAGAAAAGCAATTCTATCTTTTATGGATCATCACTGAAAAAACAGTCTCTAATTTTTGATCCCTAGAGGCTGTGATACTCGAGAAGTCCCATGTGATTGAACAAAATAGTGGACAACCAGACTATAATATAAAAATCCCACTCCTTGGATTTTTTCCCCTAATTTTAGAAAAGATATGACATAGCAGCAACTGGATCAAATCAGGAACTTAACTTACCCTTTTTCTTGTTTTTAACTGGACCTGTTACAAAAAAGAAAATGGAAAATTAAATCACTGGAAATGAACAGAAAATGTTTATTCTCCAAGGCAGTCACAGGAGGGACCCCAGGACACTGCAAATTTGAGGGCAAGGTATCTCCTGACTATCAAACCTCCCCAGTCGGTTTCTGACTGTTGTAATAAGAAGGTTACAAGGAAGACTCTTTCCTAGGGAGAAAAGACCTTTCAGGCTGCCTTTGGAGTGAGGGAATGACTGCTTCTCCATAGAGCTGAAAGTCCAGAAACGCAGAACTCCACAACCTTAGGACGGCATTCCAATACTTCTGCGAGTCCTGAGGCTGAAGAGTCATGCATTCAGGTGAGCAAGTGATAGGAAGTCTCATGGGCTGAATCTGGAAGGAAAAAAGGGTCATTTCTCTGGAAGGAGCAGAGCAGTGGCAGTTGACTTTTTAGTCACTTCCTGATCATGATTTAAATTGTTAGTAATTAAAACAGTGCAACCAGAGTATATTCATGTGGGGGCCACATGCACTCTCATTGTAATTTACCATAAGTTAACAGACACTTTAAGAGAAGTGTCAACAGTTTTATTGACAATGAAATCACAAGCATTTTCTTGGGAATTACTTCCAAAGAAAATCATGCTAATCAATTGAGGGCACTCAGAAAACCCAAATTGTTTCTCATATCGTTAGGTGACAAGCACTACCCAGACATACACAGTGCAAGGTGTCTCCCAGACACAGTTTTCCCTCCTGGGGACTCAATTCTCTTAGTTCTGTAGGTGCATTTCATGTTATTTTCTTTCTTTCTACAAGTATTTAAAGTCTGTTCCAAACTGCCAAGAGGACACGATTGGACAACATTAAACCATGGGGCTTACAAAAAGAACACCAAGCATTTGTATATTGTTTTACAGTTTATAAAACTTATTTCCATTGATCATCTCATTTAATCCTTGCAACAAGCCTGGGATGATCTTTACCTCAAAGAGCAAGCTCTATCAGAGGTTGTATCTGAGCTGGATCAGAAGTTAGTAAAGCCTCTAACCTGGAGGGCTGCCAAGTGTGGTCATCAGAGTTTGCACAGGTCCCTTGGAAACCAATGTCTGTGTAGACTTCCCTGGCAAAGTAAATTCATGTGCAACAGGAAGTATTATTATGTGCAAAGGATGTTTTAGGTTGAGTTTAGTGACCTGCTGCATTTAAGGTCATAAATCTCCATTCTTTTCTCTTTTCTCACCTCCCAGTCCTTTGTATTCTTTCTCTGCTGTCTATCCTTTATGTTTTTTTCCCCTAAATATGTTTTTATTGATTTCAGAGAGAGAAAAGGAGAGGGAGAGAGAGATAGAAACATTGATGAAAGAGATACAGTAATTGGCTACCTCTTGCACACTCCCTACTGGAGATCGAGCCTGCAACTTGGGCATGTGCCATGAGTGAGAATTGAAAAAGCAACCTCCTGGTGCATGGGACGATGCTCAATCTACTAAGCCACACCAACTGGGCCTATCCTTTATGTTTTTAACAGCATTGGAATTCTTGAGAATTTGCATGGAGGTTCTGACAAGGAAGCACAGCTACTTAGATACTACTGACCAAGAGGCAGCAACCAAGCCTGAGAAGGGCCACTTCCTTAAACAAGAAAGCTATTTGGGAAGGATTTACAAAGAAAGGTCCAGCCTCGTCACCAGCTACCAGTCAGCTAGTCAGCCACCTCAGCCTGGGAAAATACTGGGCAGACAGCCATTGCAGCCACACTGCCCTCATACACAAGTTGTGCCCAGTTGCTGATCATTTCAGCTGGTTAAAGGGTTAGCTGGTTAAAGTAGGCTTTGAAGAAATCAGACCATCACCAAGCACCCAGTCCCTAACCAGGCATGCCCATGGAAGGTAGCCGAGTAAATAATGAAACACAACCCTATCCTCAAAGAAATTACAGTGGCATAGGAATATAATAAAGACAAAAGTTAAGGATCGTGGAATCAAAAAAAAACCTCCCTGGAGGAAGTTTGACCAAAATCTACAAGTCAAAAGAGGAAAGCGGAAGTTAAAAACTTTTTTAACATCTACTATTTTTATCCCAGAAATAGCTACTCATTCATTACACATACAGAAATGCATGCATATATAGCTACATAAGAAAGTGGAGCAAGAAGGGAAAACAGTTTATTAGACTACCCACAAATAACCACTATTAACATTTTATGCATATCTTGAAACTTTCTACACATATGAATATGCATTTTTACAAAACAGGATCAAATAATGTTTGATCTTTTTTTTCCTCACCCGAGGACATTCTTCCATTTTTGTTCTGATAGAGTGGGAGGGAGAGAGAGGAAGAGAGAGAGAGAGTAAGAAACATCGATGTGAAAGGGACACATCGAGTGACCTCCCGCACCGCCCCAACCAGGGCCGGGGCCAAATCACAACCGAGGTACATGCCCTTGACTGGAATCAAACCTGTGACTCATTGGTCCGCAGGCCAATGCTCTAACTGTTGAGCCAAACTGGCCAGGGCTGATCATTTTTTTTTATGTCAATAAGTACATTTTTCCAGTATCATTTTTTTCCTGGTGAAAATTTTTATTTATTTATTTATTTTTATTTATTTATTTTATTGTTGAAAGTATTACAGATGTCCCCCCTTTTCCCCATTGATCACCTCCTTCCTGCTCCCACCCCACTCCTGCCTTCCCCAGCCTAATGTCCATGTCAACTGGTTGTGCATATTTGCCTATCAGTTCTTTGGTTTATCTCTTCCCACCTCTCCCACCCCCCATTCCTCTGAGGTTTGTGAGTTTGTTCCCTACTTCCATGACTCTGGATCTCTTTTGGTCAACAGCTTATTTTGTTCATTATGTTCCACAAATAAGTGACATCATGTGGTACTTGTCTTTCTCTGACTGGCTTATTTTGCTTAGCATAATACTCTCCAGATCCCTCCATGTTGTCTTAAAGTATAAGAGATCTCTCTTATAGCTGCATAGTATTCCATTGTGTACATGTACCACAGCTTTTTATACACTCATCTACTGATGGGCACCTGGGCTGTTTCCAGATCTTAGCTACTGTAAATACCACTGCTATGAACACAGGGGTGCATATGACGCTGTCTGGGTCCAGGCTTTTGTTTGCTGGAGTTCATTGATTACATCTTCAATTTCCTTAGTTGTTATTGGTCTGTTCAAGTTTTCTGTTTCTTCCAGGTTCAGTTTTGGGAAACTGTGATTTTAGAAATCTGTCCATTTCACCTAGATTGTGCAATTTGTTGGCATATAATTGTTCATAGTATTTTTTAATAATCCTTTATACTTCTGTGGTGTCAGTTGTTATTTCTCCTTCTTTGTTTCTGATTTTGTTTATTTGGGTCCTCTCTCTTTGTTTCTTGGTAAGTCTGGCTAAAGGTTTATCAAACTTGTTTATCTTTTCAAAGAACCAGCTCTTTGTTTCGTTGACCTTTTGAATTTTTTTTTAGTCTCTATGTTGTTTATTTCTGCTCTGACCTTTACTATTTCTTTCCTTCTACTTTGTTTGTTTGTTTATTTTCTAGTTCTTTAAGTTGTAGGGTTAGTCTATTAGAAACTTTTCTTGTTTCTTTTTTTTAAACTTCTCTTTATTGTTGAATGTATACAGATGTTCCTCATTTTCCCCCCATTGACCCCCTCCTTCCCACTTCTGCCCCCCTCCTGCCTTTCCCCACACTATTGTCTGTGTCCGTTGGTTATGCATATATACATATAAGTTCTTTGGTTTATTTCTTCCCACCCACCAACCCCCTTCTCCTTGAGGTTTGTCAGTCTGGCAACCAATTTGTACTTCTTAATCCCTTCACCTTTTTCGCCCATTCCCCCAACTCCCCTCCCATCTGGCAACCAACAAAATGTTCTTTGTATCTATGAAAATGTTTCTGTTCTGCTTGCTCATTTTGTTTGTAGATTCCATTGTCGATAGATATGTATTCATTGCCATTTTGTTTGTTCATATTTTTTGTCTTTTCTTCAAGAAGACCCTTCAACATTTTATATAATAATGGTTTGGTGGTGATGAACTCCTTTGGCTTTTCCTTGTCTGGGAAACTCTTGATATGGCCATTGATTCTAAATGACAGCTTTGCAGGATAGAGTAATCTTGGTTGTAGGTTCTTGCTTTTCATCACTCTGAATATTTCTTGTCACTCCCTTCTGGCCTGCCAAGTTTTTTTTGAGAAATCAGCTGACAGTCTTATGGGAACTCCCTTGTAGGCAACTAACTGCTTTTCTCTTGCTGCTTTTAAGATTCTCTCTTTGTCTTGAACCTTTTGCATTTTGATGATGATGTGTCTTGGTATGGGCCTCTTGGGGTTCATCTTGTTGGGACTCTCTGTGCTTCCTGGACTTGTATGTCTGTTTCCTTCACCAAGTTAGGGAAGTTTTCTGCCATTATTGTTTCAAATAGGTTTTTGATTTCTTGTTCTCTCTCTTCTCCTTCTGGCACCCCCAAGATGCGAATGTTGGCATGCTTGAAGTTGTCCCAGAGGCTCCTTACACTATCCTCATTTCTTTGGATTCTTTTTTCTTTTTGCTGTTCTGATTAGGTGTTTTTTGCTTCCTTACATCCCAAATCGATGGTTTGTTTCTTGGCTTTACCTACTCTACTATTGCATCTGTGTCAATTATTCTTTATTTCAGTTAGTGCCTCCTTCATTTCTGACTGTGCATCCTTCATTTCTGACTGCTCCTTTTTTATGCTCTTGAGGCCCTCACTAAGTTCACTGAGGTTCTCACTATGTTCATTGAGCATCCTTATAAGCAGTGTTTTGAACTCAGCATCTGTTAGGTTGCTTATCTCCATTTCCCTTAGTTTTTTTTTCCTGGAGTTTTGTTCTGTTCTTTCATTTGGGACCTGTTTCTTTGTCTCCTCATTTTGGCTGTCTTTCTGTGTTTGTTTCTATGTATTACCTAACGAGAGATATGAGGCTAGCTGAGACCAGATGCTGCTTGTTTGAAAGAATTTAGGAAAACCTGAAGCAGGATCTAA